ATGCTCGTCGTAAGAGGCGATTAACGGGATCGGGTGGTCAGGTTCGCTGACTTGGTTGACACATGTCGTCGTATCCCATTTGCGTAGATCGACGCTTATGTTGTTTATCACTGGATTGTCTGGTACAGACTCGATTACATACAGACCGCCGCCATATAGCTGGAATATTGCTGAGTGCGGCGTAAAACAAAAAATCCCCAAATCTTACGGTAAGTAGATTTTGATGGAGAAATTTCTAATACGGAGTCATACTTGGATTTTACATCGTTGTACGATGTACAAGTTGCAAGTAGTTGATACAACAGTGACGGTAAATAGGCATACACGTTATGTTTTAGCTTCAAGGAAAAGGAATTACGTTGGTAAATTTATAACGAGAATGTACATACGTGATTAACCGCAGAAACATTTTTGGATCACCGACACCAGGTAACATGGTAAGAGCCATTGCATAATAAGGTCAATGTTGTTTCATGACACTAGCTTTAAAATCCCATGGCGTGCCATGACCTTTCCATTTTGTTTCACGACTACTCCATGACGCATTTCAAGATCCGCTTGTTTCCAATGACCTGTTCATATGTTGTTCACAGCTATGTTTCTGGGGATGTTAACGACAGGGTATTCGTTTGTTCTGACATTCTATGTTTAAAACAAGGCGTTAGTGTTTCCATGGAAACGAGATAAATAACTGACAACATGCCGACAACATCAGCACACACAAGGAAATAAACACATCACCTTTTCAAAATGTTTCCCAAAGCTTAACCAAGACAAAGGCAGAACATTTTAAAGTAATCCTTTGCTGAATACAATGACGAAGAGTAGCCCAATGGCTAAAGCGTTCGAGGGAGACACGGTCCTTGCATCCGAACCAGAATGAAAATTACGAACTCTTCGTAAAAAAATAGACGCACGCACTCATCATCGTTCGTCCCTTTCTATACGAGACCATTGCCTCTTCACGAGTACGTACACAACGATATATTTGCGAGGTAAACTTATCATTTCCGTGTATCTCATAAGAACATATTATATGAACACGTTTTCTCATTGACAACAGGCTGATGTTCTTGAAGATGTCACGGGGTACGTAAGTACATGATACTGGAGTTGTAATCAGCTTGAGAGGTTTCAGACTGTTTAATGGCTTCATAAATGCTATCTTAATGTAGCACTCGTTTGAAGTAAGGAGACGTCTAGCCCTCCTTTCGTCAGCCACGTCGCATTTGTAACATGAAACACAGACGAAGCTAAACACAAACCAAATGCCTCTAGTTACATTCTATATTCCGATATTGTAAATACATGTAAATCGACGTAACCTTGTACATGGATTCTGACAAGTGTCCCGCTGTGTATGGCACTGGAGTATACAATAAAAACCCAACAGGTTGATGCTAACGTAATGCCAACCGCCTGTTTAAATAAAGAGCAAACCTTCCAGCATTGTATTTCTCAAGGTGTCTCTTATATATTTATATTGGAACTTATACAAGCTTTTAAGCGAAACTCTCGTTTACTTTATCGGGAAAAACATACGGACACGTGGTAAATAAGGCATTGGTAGATTGCTAACATGACAATGTAACGCTAACAGTGGGAAGGACTCCTGTTATCTGAAGGACACGCAAACATGATGATTTTCTCATTTGCAGCAACAGATTTTGAGATAGTGCCAATTATTTAGTGTGTATTTTCGCAATATTCTCGAGTGCCTCCTGACGTGGGTTCCCAAGTGAGCACTAACATGTGTCTCATGTCTGTTCTTGCAAATCTTGTCAAATTGCTCCCTAATGTTTGTTTTTTTCGGTCTCGTGGCATTTACCGTTATGTCCTTGCATCTCCTCCTGTGTGTTCTCACGTGCTTAGCATGTTCAACGTCAACAGAACGTTTTTTTATCACAGCACATGATGTTCTTAAAGATCAAAGAAATGACTATTTACTCTGTGTAAACTGTCGTACAATTTTCATAGGGAATAGCTAATAACTTTATGTCATTCAAATCTTGCAAATGGTCCTTGTGGGTATTTCGGATCAGAATAGATCCTGAAGTACTACATGTAAATATGAGGATACCGGCGCCGCAACGTTGGAATCGGCGTTTGTGTGCCATCGTCGACGACCGGGCAACGTTGTCTTTTACAGGCAACCCTTGTTTACTATAAATATTCGATATACTTTGTTTCGAACTAAAAGTTGACGTACAAAGTCCACATTTTAATGACTTCTGATGTGAGCTAAATTCATGAATGAACAGATTGTATTCGTTCGATCGTTTTATTATGTACCAAACTCGATATAAAGGAATGATGTATATTCGAATACAGCGTTCGACAATAATTCAAAGATCGGGTATGTTTGTTTCCCAATGTGTATTACATAAACTTCGTTGTGTCGAACTGACAGTTGCCTCGAAGGAAAAGCTGGGTCAATGCGTATTTAGTCATCAATGCATTTTTCGGTTGTGTGGAACCTCGGATAACTCGATGTGTACGCCCTTGCACCTTCTCCACAACGGCGTTTCACAGTATTGCTGTTCACATGTTCATTGTGTGCTAAAAACTCCTTTGCGTTGCTTTAACGTTTGCAGATGCACAGGTGAGCGTTACCAAAGTGGTTAATGAAAAAAGGGGGAAATCAAAACTAAGGTCATCATGTTTATCAAACGAAACGTCAATAGCCGAGTCGCGTCTCTGGTCACCTTGACCTTCACTGCCGTTATCTGGCATGCTGGATTCCCAGCGACTATAAAATACATTAAACACGGCATGTGCGCTGGATGTTGATCTTCGCAGAGGATCACCTTGATAACGTCAGTCTGCTGTCGACGTTGACTGACCGACTGACTGAGTTTGGTTTTACGCCGCTTTTAGTAATATTCCAGCAACATCACGGCGGGGGAACACCAGAAATGGGCTTCACATGTCGACATTGAATACAAGAGAACCTGCGTGTCATTCGTTTACATATTAATCTTACTCGAACTTCGTTGTCGGTGAGAGTGAGCAAGTGAATGAGTGAGTGAATGGGTGGGCGAGTGAGTGAGTGAGTGAGTGTAGTTTTACGCCATATTTAGCAATATTCCAGCAATATCAAGACGGAGGACACCAGAAATGGCCTTCACACAATTGTAACTGGGGAATCTAACCCGAGTCTTCGGCGTGACGAGCCATCACTTTAACCACTAGGCTACCCCACGGCCCCAAAAGGGGATGGAAAGGTTCCCCTTTAAATTGAAAAGTATTTGAATCATGTTCTGTACATCTATACCGGGGAAGCTCTAATTTTTACCCTACGCCCAACGTCCCCTGGTTATCTCCCGATTGAAGGTTTAACGAACGATGACGTCTTTCAACAAGGTCACTCAAAGGTAGTCTTACAAATGTGGGCGCCGGTAGAATGTAACAAGGCATCCATTTATATTTCTTAAACACTAAAACCATGTATTCGCTGTGAGTAAATCAGCGATATTGGAAATCTTCGGATGTAATTCTGAATGAAATACCGAAATTCTATCATTATAATTGTAAAATGATCGGGCGCTTCTTAAGAATGCATTTGCAAGACCTATCAAAGCGGTTAATTCAAACGTTTACCCTCAAGGGTATAAGCGATTCCCTGTGTCCCTAACAATGATTTGTCAATGTTCTATCAACACGGGTATTGAAAGAATATTACACGGATGTGTGCACATATGAAATGTTCTATCAATATCAATACCTCAAGAATAATCAATCAATATATCCTGAGACATTCGATTCATCAATAGTACTTTACCGTCAACAGTATCTTACTCTGTACTTTACAAAACTCGTAGCCGAAGTGACTGTGCGTTCTCATACGTTGTCACACTTAAGAATGTTGAATGAGGGTGAGTATCTTAAGAATGTATAACTATGTGAAACGTTCTCGCAAAGCGATCTTTCAATGATCATAAGACATGATGCACATTATGGAAAACAGAAGCACTAAATCATGTAAATAACTTGTGTTGTAAATAACACATGGCTGTAATGCGTCTTAAAACAAATACAGACAATGGCCCTGACAGGTGTGGATAGTCATTGCTTGAATAACTGGCATTACAGAAAGGAATAACCAGCAACACTGATACTGCCTCCACAGAGTACTACCAACTCTGTTTCCATCTGATGTCAGGATGGTAATACTTTTGTCACTGGAGTGACAAGATCTGCCATAAACTGTCTATGATCACTCGACTATAAAAAAACATGCCTTCTTGGAGAGCTAAGTGACGATAAGATATTTGGATTAACAACTTCTTTATTAAAACTAGGGGCGACGTTTTTATGTAATTTCGAACACCGTTATCAAGCAAATAGAAACGACAAAACCCTTTCCTCATTCTTGAGAAATCTTTGCTAAAAGCAGTGTCGATTATACAATTGTGACTATATCATGAGTATATATATGCTTCAGCAGTATTACAGCTGTACATCGACGAGTGATGTTCAGAAAATTTCCCTCAAACCCACAGTGCACTCAAATTCAACTTTTATCTCAACCGTAAGCTTCAAGAAACGGTTTTAAAGTAACAATTTATGTAATAATATTCAACTTACTGCAATATTACATCCTGCGATCAGGGAAGATAAATCACAGCATTATCTTCAGATTGATCATATTTCATCGGAATAATCATACAAAATATTTTCATTTAAGATCGAGTTGCATTTTCACTTTCCGTGAAACAAATTCTACAATTACACACTTTCAAGACTGTATACTTCATCTTTGGTGTGAAGAAACTGTCAGAGTCTGAACATAATTGCATTGTCATAGTAAACAGCAATGGATACTAAAACTGTGTCGATAGGCACTGAGAAGGACATAATGCCCCAAACTTCTCACAGTACAAGATAAACAATAATCTATTGCCTCGCAACCCCATCAAAATACCACATGAGTTTACATTATATGCACATCCAATAAAAACTTGAAAAAATGTGTATGCCACTATAACAATGATACTTACTTAAGCTGACGACGACAGTCAAATATACCATCAGAGAAATCCCTCCTCAAATCTCCACACTCCATTCGATATAGGAATAGGACTGCGTGTTAGTCCAGACCGGTTGCAATGTTCATTACTAGACTTGATAGAATGGATAGAGGGAGCTTAGTGGTAAATCCTACAGCAAGCGTTCCGCTGTCTCCCTTCCGAGATAAGCCTCTGTGAAGAGCAGAAAGGGGATGCGACTATCGAACTGAAGAACGCTGCAGTAGAACGAGAAACTGTCAATAAACGAGTCGCTGCCTGTGCTGATGATAACACACCTTCTGAGCAGCAGGACCAGGGTTGGCAGAGGTTCAGTGAGAGGCGGGCTTGTCCACTTGATGGTACAGCTAGAATGTGTTCAGTTTTACCAGACATTACTCATGTCCCGAATTGAACTTTCTGCAATGAGGTGTGTTTGTCCGTTATATATCCAATTTCTTAAATGACTTTATTGTTAAACGTATGTTAATTATATTATAAACAAAGACTTTTTTATATGTCGTAAATTCGTACAAATATTTAAAACGCGTACACTTAAAACGCAAATATAACACATTCTGTTGCTCTTTAAAGTCAAAGATACAGTTATAAATAATTTAAAAGGTTGACACAAGTTGATATTATTTTGATATATTCTTCTGCAGAAAGTATGTACAAAAATGTGTAAAACTACATACATGCTCATATTGGTTATACAACGCCTCTTTTGAGTATAAAAGTCTTCAAAAACAAATTAGAGGGCTCAACATGATCATATAATCATCTATATGTCTACACATACATATTATATACTACTTACAAATGTATTTTCGTTTACAAGGGCATTACAATATGGACGTTCTCTAATCACAAATTAATTTTCACATGAGATATTACAGGGATCGTCGTTGTAAGGATACATAGCCATATATTTCTAATCACACTCTTTTTACAATTTCACAATCCTGAATAATGTTCAAATGTAAATGACTCTATAATTTTATATATGATGATAGTACTGCATGCATACGTTAATACGTAGGTACTGACTTCCATCATGCGTGTCAGGTTTCAATACTAAAGAAGAAATGACGAGGACGACGCCATCTTGAAAGACTAATTTAACATTGTTCATTGTCAGTCCCGATGTAAAAATTCATGAGACCCGAAACGAGCTTCCCACGGTAATCAGGTAATCAAAGGATGTTGGTTCGGGTTAATTAGGCTTCTCGTGTTGTGTTGATGACACCTACGTGTGTCATGATACTGAACGAGGTGTCTGGAGGTTGCCGTATTCTCACAGAAGCAGGTCCTGGTTTTATTAGCAACTTAATTCATGATTATTGGTGTTGATGACAAGCCGTCAACAGGAACGACAATGAACAGTAACATTAGGTTTAGAGATACAGCAACCCTTTCTGCCGACCAACTTTCTTTCAGGGGACCTACTGAAATAGTTCGAATTATCCCAGGTTCGATATAAACCATAATATGAAAGAATGTAAAAATAATACAAGGGAACAAAGTTTTTACTTCGCAGCAACTGTACGATCGACACGGTGGTGTTTGACAGTTATAAAGAAAGACTTCGATTCAGTTTGTATAATGCAAATTTAAAAGTTAGTGATGAGCACAAATGGACATAAACAATGTTTAGTTTCAAACAAGGCACTTCTTGAACGTAAAGACCAACGCAATGAATTAACAATAGACAGTGGATCATAGCACCCCTTTAAGTGTTTTATATGTCATTTTCTCCTTTCACAGGAAGACATGACAAATGATTTTTTACTCATTATACCCAGGGATAATGAAACATAGGTGTGCATGGCGCCGTGCTCATGAGAAGGCAGATACTTAATCGACCTAGCCCTGTTTTATTCATGTAGGGTCGGTCTCGTGGATAAAGCGTCTGGCCGAAGTGAGGAAGATCTATGCCTTGATCACTGGCTGCGACTGAAAGACGTTAACCGATGATACCTGTTTCCATGGCTGGCGGTCGGCATGAAGCGGCCAACACAAGGTCGGGTCGTCTCGGATCAGTTTAATGTGTCTGAGCGGGGTATTTATGTTAAACTCCGATATGGTATCTCAGTCGGATCACCCTATCAAACCGACATCAGTTACCGTGCTAGCATTTGCAGCCATCAATGTTTGTTGGTTGGTTGGTTAATGAGACACTCAGCACTATTCCAGGAAAATGTTGGCGGCCTGCGAATCCATTGACAAGATGACCATCGTCACGTCGTCATGTCGCTGCAAATATAGTACACAATCTCCAAACGACTGAAGGCTGAACGTCATTTTACCTCAACTCCCTCACCTAAAAATGGGCTTCAATAATTGTAATATGAAATTACCCCACCGTTCGAGGGCGGTGGGCGAACCTACTGATTCAAGCGTTAATTCTGACACGCCAAACACCCTACTTCGAATCTCATATGGGTACAATGTATGAGCCCCGGAGTGATATTGCTGGAAGGTTGGATTCATACCAATCTGTTTTAAACAGGTGATTTACACAATATGGAATTGATCATGTTTCATCATTATTGGGTTAGATAAGTTTTGGGTATTTTACTTTAAATTATTTCGCTTCAAATTTACCTTTTATGCAGTGTTCTGCTGACGATCATGTCCATAAAGAAAAGTAAGCAGGGCAGCTCACTTCATTGGTTAAAACGTCGAGACAATTTCCCCACTCAATCCCTTTACTTTAATGTACAAAGGGTAAATACATCGCTGTGAAATATTCTATAACAAATAAGGTGTTAATTCCCCAAACTGATTGAGGATGTCGTTTAGTATTCGAGGGGTTTATTTTCAGAAAACTTTGATGGAATGTAATTTCGTATACATTTTATACCGGTGTGCGATTGGGTTGAACTATAAATGAATGATTTAAATCTCTTCACCTGACATCGAACCAGCACACATGCCATTCACAAAGATACAAACGACTTTGTTTAACCTAAACTTGTCAAACCCCAAATGAAGTGGTTCAAATAACAAATCTCCAAGCTGACCAAAGAGCCCGTCTCAAGTTTGCAAACATGTGCCCAAATCACCTAATAAACTCATTGAATGCTACAACAAGCCAGTCCACATATTTTATCCGGGATAACGTTAACATCTGGTCGTTATAATCGCAGCGTTTATTCAATAAACAGAGATTACAGACCATCGCGAAGCTGGCTGAAATGGGAAAGAACTGGTTGTTGGATTCATTGAGTTTATATTGGCCTTGGCTGGGCTACATAACACCGTGGGTAGAAAGCCAAGTGCCTATCGAGACGCGTTATTGCAGGAACGTATGCATAATTGTCTTGTTTGCTATCAAGGGGCTGGTTCCATATGGTGACATTGTTCGGCTACTTCAGCCGTCTCGAGCAGAAAATGTACAGACATCAGTTGTCGCTTTATTTAATGCCACATATCTGTTAAATCCTGTTATTGCCAGTTTAGAGGCACCAATAGTCTGGTATTCAGTGTTTGTTACAATGATCCCTCATGCATTTGTTATATACATTCACCAACCCACACTGGATCAATTCGTATTTTTCCCAAGTAGGATTGTACCGCCTCAGTTACGTTTGGTTGGCGATTCCGTTTGAAGATGTCTTCCTGAACAGAATTCTTCGACAACTTCACAGCTGGGGTTAGGGGAAATCTATGAGTGTTTTGTAGATGTACTTCAATATGTTGCTAATTTTGATTGAAACGTGTTGCAACAATCGATGTATATACCGATGGGTTTTTTTCCAAATATCGATTATAAAGAGGTTCCCTTTGCCGTGAAAATAATCAATACCTTCTTCGTAGAGTGAAGACAGGTTTATGTGTTTTATTAATTTTATAAGTATTCTGTATCTACAAATAAGGATTTTGAACGATGGTTTAGATTGAAAATATAATTTACAAAAGTGTTCAATTTTGTTTTTTTATTGTGTTTGCCAGTGGATGAATGTGATATCACAATCGCAGTATATAGTAAAGCGAGTGAGTGAGGTTGATTAATCTATCATTGAGGGTATTTCTAGAATTTCATGTCGTGTTATCTTGATGTGGAACACCAGAAGGGATGCATATTTTAGTGGAAACTCACGATGACTGACATGATGATAAATCGAATATCAAAATCTGGGCGCATGTACAAATCGAACCGACGAACATAGGTTTCTGGCGAGGCTAAAGCAAACTGGCGGATCTTACATCATGTTATGGGGTTACAGGTGTCTCCTTTATAGCGTCTCGTGAGCCCAAGGGTAGGACTTAGTTTTCAGCAACCCATGCTTGTCTCCTCACTTAAAGATCTGGGTCAGTATTGGTCTTCAGCATCCCATTCTTGTCTCCTCCCTTGAAGATCCTAGTTAGAATTGGTCTTCAGCAACCTGGGCTTGTCTCCTCCCTTGAAGATCTCGGTTAGAAAAGATTTTCAGCAACCTGTGCTTGTCTCCTCCCTTGAAGATCTGGGTTAGAATTGGACTTCAGCAACCTGTGCTTGTCTCCTCCCTTGAAGATCCGGGTCAGTTTTAGTATTCCGCCACCGATGATTGTCTCCCCCCGTTGAAGATCCAGGTCAGTATTGGCCTTCCGCAATCCAAGCGAAATGTCAGACTTGCTGACTTGGTTTATACATGTCAATCTATTCCATTTGCGGAGATCGATCATCATAATATCAATCACTGAAATGGTCCAGACTCGATTATTTACAGAGTGTCGTCATACAGCTGCAATGTCGCTGGGTATGGCGTGAAGCAACACATGAAAATATATCATAAGTAAAACAGACGTGTACATGTATGATCCCGTTATTTCAGGCTATTATAGGCCAGGGATAGAACAATAGTATACCACTTCTATCTACGATGATACTGAAGGGTCCAATACTAATTGTTACAAACTGTAGCCTATTTCAGTCTTGCAACTACTGAGTTAATATTTCCTAGAGGCTATGGTTGTTAACTCTTGAGTTCATAAGGTGTCTTGTACTAGTCCTGTAGGGCAAGCTCACACCTTTCATGATACCGCCAATAATACTAAACTGACGTGCAAAGGAAATTACACTCCTGGTGATTTGGGATTTTGTGGAAAAATAAACAAGTAAATATTTTGGAAAGTATTTTGATTGTGACTTTTCGTGGTGAAAATGATCTCAAAGCAAAACCTGTGTACAATTTTTGTCGGTCAAGGTTATATGTGACATTAAGGAAGCATTGAAAGC